ATCTGGGTCTCCCACATGGGTGGCAGGGGCCCAGGGACTTGGGCCGTCTTCCGCCGCCTCCCCATGGACTGGAAGCAGAGAAGCCGGGGCTCCAGCCTGCACTCTGATACGGGGTGCTGGCATCCTAGGTGGTGGCTTTACCTGCCGCACCACAACACCGGCCCCCACCTCACAGGTTTTGTTGTGAGCAGTGAGAGTTTATACCTGCCAGGTGCTTGGGACAGGGCCTGGCCCGTGCTGTTTACTCCCTGTTGGATGGAAAGTTCGATGCAGGCAGGGGCTGGCGTTGTGCAGCCCACTGTGGGTCCCCAGAGTCTATTGCCTCATCAGACACCTAATATTTGTGGAATGCATGAATAAACCTCCCTTGCTTGGCAGGCCTGCCTGTACGTGGTGACCCTGTGGAAAGATGACACCCAGTACAGCTGCACTCATTATTATCCGTCACAACAGAAGCAGGGGAAGCCACACGCGGCTTCAGGCTAAAAGCTGAGGAATCTCTTGGGGGTAGCCAGAGAGTTTCCTGTCTTATATTCCTACCAGTTTACTCTCTGCCACCATAACAAGTTCCTGTCTCTGTAACGGCACAAGGAAAAGGCTACAGCCCTCCTAATTCCTTCTGGGCCCTGGAGGCCCCGACAGGATCTTTTCTGCCCTCCTCAGTCAGCTGTCCTGGCTGTGGGGGCCTGAGGGGAGGGTGAACAAGGTCATGTGATGAGCCCTCACCTGTGTCCTGCCTGAGCATCACTCCCAGTGCTGCCCCTGGGAGCCCTCCAGGGCAGACCCAACACCAACAAGGCTTGGCTTTGGTGAGCACCTGCTGTGCGTCCCGGGCTCGCCCGGGACTGACTCATCTGTGAGCCCCCATGGGACCCTCGGGCCGGGGTAGGGGACGGGAGTTAGCTCTGGAACCACCCTCCCTCCTTCTCCTGCCTGCGTTTGGCTTCCAGACCTCCCTGGGAAGGGCGAGGGTTTGTGGATCCCTTTTGCTGGGGGCGCGGGGGGGGGGTCCCTCCAGGCGTGTCCCGTGCAGGACACAAAGGCCCGCAGGATGAAGCCCATCCGAGGAGGCACAGGCAAGCTCACTCCCCTGGAGGATCCACGCCTGCTTCTGTCTCTGGGCCGCGGGCCAAGCCCTTCTGCTGCCTGGAACACCCTTTCCCGCCACGCCTGCCTGGTGACCGCATCCACACGTCATCCTGCTGCACCCTCCCGATGCCTGCGGACGCGCCGGGCCCTTTTCCTGGGCTCTGGCAGCAGCACTGTACAGAATCCTGTCTCCTGCCTCCCTGCTGCAGCAGGGGGCCAGCGCCAGGGCAAGGCTGGATCCCGGCCCCTCCAGCTTGGTTTGCCAGAGCCAGGGAGCGTTAAATGAGATAATATGTAAGTGGAGCACGTGGCTTCAGCTCCTGTCTCAGGGGGGCCAGATGGGGCTTGGGGATGAGGCCAGACTCAATGCCTGGGATGTGCTGGGGCTTTTATGTTCTGCCCGAGGGAACTGAAACATGCCTTCCTCTTTGAACCCCTTCATCATCAAAGCACAGACACGAAGACATGGATGCACGTCCCCGGGTCTAGGAGACCCCTCATGAGCTCTCTGGAGCCTTGTGTGTTCCTCCAGGGTTCACAGCCTGCCCCCGGGGCCATCCCACCCCACTGCTTCCCTACAAAGTCCCGCCCCGGGAGGTTCTGGAGTTTGCTTCCTGTGCACGTGACCTCCAGGAGTCTTTTTCAGCCACTCCTTCCTTTAGCAGGTGGGCAGAGTCTTGTCCTGGGTTTCTGCCGGGGCAGGCATTTAGCCTGGCTGTCGGGACGCTGGCTGGGACAGCTGCAGCCCGTGCTGGGAGCACCTGGGCTCCATACCCAGCTCCGGCTCCTGACTCCAGCTTCCTGCTAACACAGACCCTGCGAAGCAGTGGGTGACAGCTCAAGCAACTTGGTTCCCGTCACTCACGTGGGACACCTCAACTGAATTCCGAACTCCTGGCTTCCACCTCGGCCCAGCCCCGGTTGTCACGGGCATTTGTGGAGAGGAGCAGCAGAAGGGAGCTCTCTCTGTCTGCCTGCCTGCCTCTCAAAGAAAGAAAAAGTCATGGAAGAGGGCAACGTGGGGCACCAGCATGGCTGGCCAGCAGTCCCCTGCTCCGCCTGCTCTCCTCAGTCCTCCCTGGAGGTCCCTACACGGCTACAGATTCTAGAACAAACCATTTCTCACCCCAGCCCCAGTTCAAGCCTGCTTCCTGCAGTCCAGCTCAGCCCCAGAGAGGGGGTCATCACCCAGCAAGGTGCCACTTATGCACAACCAGGGACCAGGGCTGCCCGTGGTTCACCAGCACCCACAGGGGGGCGACAGCCTCCTCCCCATGGCGCTCACCGAACACTCAAGTCCATACCCTCAGCCCACTGGCTCCCCTGTAGCACAGTACTGCTTCTAAGGATTCACTCGCCCCATTTTCTAGAGGGGTAAACTGAGGGCCTGAGCCCAGATGTGCTTTTTCCCAAGGCTGTCCAGGATCTGCCAGTGAAGCTCCAGGGGGAAGCCAGCAGGGCTCTTCAGCTAGGGCTTTCCCGGCACGCTCAGGCTGTTAGAAAGACCCCAGGCTCGGGGGGCCAGGCCACGCAGGGGGGCTGGCTTCCACCTGACCGCCCCACATGCCCTGCAGTTCTAAGCCACAGCGTCTCGCCTGTTCTGTCGTCTCCTCTCTCCTCTGTCTCGCCTCATCCTTTGTGCCGGGGCCAAGCCACCTGCCGTTCCTTCCAAACCACCCGCAGTCAACCGCAGAAGCCCTGGGGAGCCCACAGGTGGGACCCCAGGCCGGCGGGAAGAGCCAATCCAAACCGGAAAGACAAGGGGATACAGGTCTTCTGGTTCAATCCCAGCTTGGCTGAGGGGCACAAATGAAGCCCATCCCCGCCACCATCACAACCTCTCCCCAACACCCCAAGCCTCTTCAGCGCATTTTTGCCTTCTGAAAACACTCCTTCACAAAGAGCTGGCTGCCCCCGCCCCAGCCCCAGCGGGTCTCCAATGCCAGGGGAGAAGGGAGGCGTGGCGTCTGGGTCGTGGGTGAAAGCACTCACGAGGATTGTCAGGGGCCAGCCCTGAAGAGCAGCCTGGACGGCAGCACTGGCTGAGCCGTTGGGGGCCGGCAGGTGTGATGGGGTCCGGCATGTTGGTCCTGCCAGTGTGATCAGACCTCAGGACTGGGGCCAGGGGCAGCCCAGCCCCAGGGATGGGGGCTGGTGGCACAAATCAGGGAGTGGGGCACTTTGGTGCAGGAGAGAGTGTCCTGCCCTTTGGAAAAGTGGGGGGAGATGGGGTTAGGGGAAGTGGCCTGGGGCAGGTTCCCAGCAAGGCACTGGGACCCCGCCACCCTCCAGGGCCCCAGGACGGGTGTCGGCTCAGGGAGGCTGGTGTGGAGGGGCAGGCTGGCCGCCTGGGGACAGCGCAGTCATCCCCCAGTCTGACTGTCTGAGCCGGACCTCCAGGAGGGCCTGGACAGGTAAGATCTGAGGTGTCTGTAGCAGCGCTGGGCAGTGTGCGTGTGCAATCCCAAATGCCTGGGTCTGTGTGGAGGCCCCTCAGTTTCTCTGTGTGTTGGGGGAATCCAAAGGACCCCTGTGTGTGTTTGGGGCTCTCAGACAGGCAGGTGGCGAGGGCGTGTCTATGGGCGGGGAGGGGGCGGCTCAGGAAACCTCCTAGGCGGGAGGTGAATGTGGATTTTGTAGGAAGCCCAGATCTAGACTGGTCAGAATAGGGATGTGTGGAGTCACCAGAGAGAGCCGGGGGGACCCCAGGAGTGATCTTTAGGGGTGCCCTTGGGCCTGGGAGGCTGCGGGGGAGCAAGGCCAGCAGGTTGGGCAGAGGATGATGATAGATCGGAATCCTGAGTTACAGAGGCAAGAGAGGGGT